CTGTGTATGTGAGACAGAGAACAATGGAGAGGGAGGCAATAGCTGTAAATTGAAGTGACATCATATGTATTGCTCCCATTGATCCCCTTTTAGGCTCCAGCCAGGATAAAAGGAAACGGCATCAGGGAGGAAGTCTGCCTCATTTAGGCACAGATCCCAGTGTGATAATGGAGTAATAATAGAAATCACTCCACTCTCAATTGGCTGCTGCATTAGTACGAGGCACATTTCCCCTCTGAGGAGGCTTTCAATGACTTCATTCAAGGGCAGGCTGGTGCAGATAAGATATTCAGTCGACCAACTGTATTCCTTTACTGATTTCTGCCCTAACTTTGGGGTACAGGGCAGGCAGTAGCAGGCGGCTGGGGATGCTCAGGCCTATAGTGCCATGTCATGTTTCATGCCTGTGAAAGGTCAGTAGTCATATATTTTAGTGACATTTTTCTGGGGAAAGAGGGGATCCTAGCATTTATTGCATTGTGCTCATGCAAGAAATAACAGCAACCTCATTTGTGTGGGTGGTCTTCTGGGAGTCAGGTTTGATGACCTTGTAACAACATCACTAAGAGTTTTTGAAGCGTCAGAGTTTGTTTTCTTTGTGCGTCTTGCAGGTTGAGATGGGTTTGGAAAATTCTTATTTTCTTTCCAAGGGCCTGTGCAGAAACTCCTCCAAGCCATTCAGAGCCTTGTGGTTTTGCTTTACCACTAAGTTGGCTGATGAGAAAAATACAAGACAGACTTTTTTCCTACTTTCTCATTAATTAGAAACTGTGGCATTCTCCAAATTTAGAGCAAGAGTAGAAAGCTTTGAAGTGCCAATAAACGGCATTTGTAGTTGGCTGATGGAACTAAGCATTATAGTTTTCCGTTTTTGTCGGACAAGTTTTATGGTTTTATGAGACTCTGTCTTTCAAGTACACACGCAGTGTTGGTGTTCCACAGACTTATTTTGGTTGAGGTTTTGAGTCAGATGAATTTTAAAAGTACTGGCCGGGTCTTCACATGGAAAAAAACCAGTGCAAAAAAAAAATCCTTGTTTGTCAAGTAAAGGAAAACAGATTTCTATTCCTGTCACTGTTTAGATATGGTTGTGAACCGTATGGTTGTGAACCGTAAGGAAAAGGAAAGTAATATTAGTCACGTTTAAGGCAATGGAAGATACTGCTCAGAATGCTTCAATTTTTTTCTTGATCATTTGGTAACAAAGTTGAGCTCGTATCTGTCCCAGCATTGGTATACCAAAACACAGTTGCCCTAAAAGTCATGTGAAATTAAAGTAATTTGATTTTTATATGGGTGGGAGTAGAACAGTCTACAGAGTATGTCTCCCATTACTATCACACCAGCTGCCAGGGAGAGATTCTTATCACAGTGCAATATTGTATTCTGAACATATTTAATAGTATAAGAAATCCTTTGACTGTTTTTAAAACATTTTTATTTTTGCCATATTTCTTTTAGTTATGAGGTGCCCTTACATAGCAAACTATTTATGTGTCATTTTGCTTTGAAACACTTTTAGGAAGTCTGAAATTCTTTTTAAAATACCAGGAAGACACTGAAATTAACACAATTTAAAAATCAAGGAATGTAAAATAGGATTAATTTAAAGCATTCATTAAAGAATCCTAATTCTGTGTTTCAGTGTATCCATTTGTTTAGAAAAACACATTCATTTCTCCTTAAATTTAAAGGGGGTGGGGAGGACACAAACTTTTGAACAATTATAGGACAGATGGCTACAATTTATTTCTCATGTAGGGTAATTCATATAATTCTAATTCAAAGAACTAGAAAGAAGAAATCTGCAAACATTAGTGTGGAATGTGTTCATTGTATTTATAAAGATCCCACATTGGATTTTGCCCATCTTTGAACAAGCTGGGTCTTGCATTCAGCAGACCTGTTTCCTGTTGCCGAAAGGGTGAAAAAGTTGAAGGAATGTGGTTATGTGTATGTGTTATGTCTTAGCTTTTTTAGTTAAGTTTGAAGACAAAGTTTGAAGTTTATGCCCTCCAAGACATTTGTGATCAAAGATCTTCCACTTTTCCTCCCCATCCTACTGAACTTTCAGTTGCCTGTTCAGAAGTGCATGACTTGGTCTTAAATATTTTCTCTGAGTAAAATTTATTGGAAAAACCGGCAATAATTCTTTTAGATATAATATTGCGTTCATGTTTATATAATGAGTAGAACTTAGGACCTTCAGACCTATGAACATAGGTTATTAGAGCTAAAAAGGGTCTTCAGAGATCATCTAGTCTAACCTTATTTTACAGTAAAGGAAACTGAGGCTAAAGAGAGGTTAAGTGGATTGCAAAATGTTTTATAGCAAGTAGTTGAGCTGTGGTTGAGATTCCGATCCTTTGTCTTTTATTTTGATACAATCAAGTTTAAAAAGGTGGAAAAGTTTTTAAATTGCTTTGGCACAAAAATTCTTGTAACCACATATAATTGAGGTTTTGTTGAGCTAACTAGCTAACTCAGGGTTTCTTTGCCTTTTATAAATTGAATTGAATTAGATTGTTCCAAATCAGTTCCCAAACTTGACTTAACAACAATAGCTCTTTGTTGGGACTGCACAGAACAGTTAGGTTGAAGGTGGTGGCTTTTCTTCTTGCCCCCCCTTTTTTTTTTTTTTTAAAACTAACCTTCTCAGAATTAGGAGATACTAGTTTTTGTTTGTGTTTGTTTCCCAAATAAGGGAAGGGTTCCTTATGGATAGTTGATATGCTGCAACAGTGTCATACTTTATAAGTGTTGTGAAAGACAGCTTAGCAATTTGCCTGATTTTTTTTTATTATACTATTGCTGATTTTCCAGGATCAATGTATGCATAACAACTTGTGTTTTGTAAAATACCTTTGTAAGAGGATTTTCATAGCTTTTAAGTAGCCTACTGTTCCAGACATAACTCCCCTGGGTACCAACCAAATCACCCTACTTGCCAATCCCCAAACACTGTGCATTTTTTGCCACTATAGTAATAATCATAGCTGACGTTTATATGGTGCTTAACAAAGGTTGACAGTGTTTTACATACAATTTTTTTGGATCCGCATAATAACCTTGTAAAGTCCTATAGATATTATCAGTGTTTTATAGATGTGGAAACTGAGGCTCAGAGAAATTAAGCTACTTGTCCATGATCACATGTCAAGGAAACATCCAAAGCAGGATCTTTACAGTACCCAGCAGAGGGCCCTAAATGCAGTAGTCACTCCATGTATATTTGTTTTAAAAAAGAAGAAAGTATAGGGATAAAGAAAAGTAACTCCAGGAGTTGGCATCTTAAACACCTCAAATTGTTTCCTTTTTAAAAATCTCATAAGCTTTAATTGTGTAACCTAAAGCCTTAAAAATAACTGCAGTTATGTTGAAGTTTTGTATTTACAAGGTATTCCATAAACATCAAAATGTGTTACTTCTAAAAAAGTGGAAAGGAAAGTGCTAGTGATTCTGTGAGTCTGGGGACAACATTGTTTGTCTTATCAGAAGGTTCTAATAATTCTGTTCCTACTAGAGATATCCTTTTGCTTATTCTAATGGCTCAATAGACTTCTTGCCTGCGGATCAAATCTTTGTATTTTAATTGGGTGGCGCACTCTAATATTCCAGTGGACTTGTGATCTCACTGATGTTGTTATTTCTCATATAGAGTTTGTAACCCATCCATGCCAGCCCATGTTGTCCAAAGTTTGACTCTTGCCTACATTCTTTCCTAAGTTTGCTGTAGGGAATCCACCCAACATGCTAGTGGCTTTCTTCAAGTCTCCTGACATTCCAGGGAATGTCCAGTAGAGCATGCTCACTGACCCAGGAGTTATCACTTGTTCTCTCAGTTATGTCACCAGTCAGTATTCTCTTTGAAATACATTTCTTTGATAATATGCTTCTCCTTCATCATTCCTTGTTTGTAATATATAGCCTTTTCTTTCCTACCATGCCTTTCAGGTGATCCCTAATTTCAGTTCTTAAGAGATCATAGTATTTACATGACTAACAGCTATAAACAGTTATCAAAAGAATATTGGCATTAAAAAAGTGAGCCTTTGTTCCAAGGAAAAGTTCAGAGTCATTAAAAGAACGTTAAAGTTTCCCAAAGGAAATTCAGCCCATTGTTTCAGATATTCATTTTTTAGCCTACCTCAGTATCCATTTGCAATATCTATAATATACATACACATCCGCACGTGCACACATTGATGGACAAGCTCTATGGATTGTCTCTCCAATTGCCTATCAGAGTCTAGACAATAGATGTTTTCTAACCCTTGAGTATATTTTAAATGGGCCTGTCTATGAATAATTTATTTGTTTGTACAATATTATTGTTAGAGGAAGCATTTAAGTACTTAGTCTCTTGTGTTCCTTATGGTTTTGTTTCCCTTGGCCTTAATTTTCTTGAACTGTCAAATTTTGTTTAAGGTTAGAATCAAATGTATCTATATCTATATGTGAGTGTATACACACATACTAGGAAGATCCTGAGACATAGAGCTTATGTCCTAATATATTACATATTTATTAGCACTTTTCCAGGATCTCAGTTTTAGAAAAATGAATGACAGACTCTTCCCTCCTGCTGTGCCTAAATATGTGTGGGCTCTTAAAATTATATACTTAAATGAGTTTTTTTCTATTTCTTTATCCTTTCCAGCAAAATGGCATTATTTAACATAGACATTCCATAAAGAAAGGAACCTAATAAACCATGATAATGTTTCATTAAGATAAACATGGTTTTTGTCATTTCTAAAAATAGAAATGAAATGAAAAGCCATGGAAAGTGAGGCTTAATTAGGCCCTAGAATGGAGTCTTTCGGAATACACACAATATAAATTCAGAGGTTTTACAAAAGTCAACTCTGAAGTCTCCCCTATTTTAGACATACTATAATTATGCAGGTTACCCTAGACTTGTTGTCTTTGGTATGTTTTCATTTAATTACTCAGTAAACTAAGTTCTGTTCTCATAATGTGTTTTATTTTACTCTTAGCTTCTTCCAGACCAGCTGGTCTTACTTCTGGAGTCTCTACTAGAGGAGAAGACATTATGTCCCAGAATTCTTCGGAGCCTAGAGAAAACGTACCACCTCCGGGAGCAGGATGCAGAGGTAATTCATTAACAGCCCCAATGAGATATTAAACAGTGTCTGAGCTATTGGTTAGGAATGTTGGCGTTCCATTAGAACCCTGAGCTATTTGAGCTACTTTTTTCCATTAGCAAAAGCTGTGACTGTTTGCTTTATTTATGAAGAAGGACAAGAAATGTCTGCCTTGCTTTAATCTGTTTTCTGGTTGTACTTGCCTGTGTGCAGTATTAACCTCCTTCATGTTACCTAGACACTATGGCATTCCACTTAATGACAGTTTCACTAATTTTGGGCTTTTTGAGGTCCCTAACTATTTTCCTATCTTAAATTATGAACATTCACATGCATATCCTCAGGGGATAATAAGCAGGCAGAGACAGAAATAGGAGGATGTCTGTTAACATGGGTACACATCATATCCTGTAATGGTTTTGAATTATAAAGGTAGGGCGGGATGTGTGTAATCTTGCAGGTTGGCAAAAGTGAGATGCTGTTACACATTAATGAATCTTGGACGGAATTTGTTAGAACTTGTTGTTTGAATTTAGTTAGGACAGGAAGGGGACCATATGTAAAGGAAATGAAAGCTAAAGCTATCAAAGCCATGTTTGAAAAGTAAGACTGGACATTTGTAGGAAAACAAAATTATTTTATCCCTACAGTTCTTCTTTGTTTAGTGTATCATATGTATAGGAAGGGGGAATGAGAATACAGTGTAAGCATTTGTGATAGTTTAATGCATTTCAGTGAATGTTGCAGTTGTTTAATAATTGTAGGAGGAAAATGAAGACGGTTAAAAGGGAAATCTTATGTGAAACAGATTTAAGATAGACTTCCCTGCAGCTATTAGAAAAATGTGGTTATTAAGTACTATGCCATTTCAAAAGATTTAAATTTCCTAGATGAGTGACTAAATCTTCAGAAATTAACTGAGTTTGAATTGCATCTAATTAAAAACTGCTCTAAATACTGTAGAAAGTCATTGTGTCCTGTTTATCAAATTATAATTGGAATTGTATGATAATAATTAAAATAGATATTTAGAAAACTGGCTCATTACCTTTAGATTAAAACAGTGAGGTGGACATTGTAGTTCCTCTCAAAACCCCTCTACGTTCAAATATTAATGGAAAACTCCAGGGTGCAAGGATACAGCTTTTCCCCAATAAGGACAGACCAACATCTTAACTGTTGCTATTTATTTCAGCTTTTTTTATTTTGTTTATATGAGTTTCCAAATGCCAGACTGTTATTTTTAATTAATGTTCAAACAAACATTTCTATTTATAGCAGTAGGCTATATTTTAATCATAGCTGAATACCAGTGAAATGTCAGGATTCTATAATGGGCAGTGGACAAATTAAGGAGGTAGGATCAAAGCTGTCACTGTAGAGTTGCCATTTGATGCCAGCGATTTGTGAGATGGCAGGTCTGGTTTTCCTTGCCTTTCTCTAAGGATGTAAAATGGATCCTGGTCTTCTCATAATTGTTAGCCTAAGTGGATTCATTTTTCATAAACTTTAAAATTTTGAAAAGGTACCACCAAGTTTTCAAATCCCCCAAGTAAAATCGGGATGGATGTCCAAAGTCATGGCACTAACCTCCAACTTTTATTTTTCAAGGTGAAACTCAGGCCTGAGCAGACCTTTAACAAGTACATAACAAGAGTATGTTACCATTATAGCTTTCATCAGGCATCGGTTCATAGCCACCTAGTTCCCTTTTAAGGGAATGTTCATGCAGACATAATCACATACCTGAGCAAGAGATTTTTACTTGTTTCAGAGTGAATGCTAAACTGAGATTTCCCTGAAATGTCTTGTAGAACTGGAAGAATAATAGGATTTTAGCCAACCTAAAACTTTGTTGGTTAACGTAGTCTTTTGGAATCTGTTGGCATTCAGTTGTGTTGTCCCTACCCTCTGTATAAAAGTGTTAACATTTTATTGGACAAAAGCCTGAGCCTATTTGTCATTTGGTAAAAAGGGCAATAGAACTATGACTTTATTTCATATGTACTACCAAGGTTTCCTGATGATTGATGCTTTCTTTCCAGTAGATATCCATGTTCCCTGCGGACAAAAAAAACAGTTCTTTTTACCTTCCTTGTGGGTAGTAGAAGATAAGTAGAGGAGGATGAGGGTGTGCTCCAATTGAAGGGGGATTTCAAAATGACTCTGGAAGTCTTTCACTAGTAACACTATGGTGTTCTTCCTTTAGGCTATTGCACAGGACAGATCAGGCTATCAGGCTAAGGCATTAAAATGAAACTGGGGAACAGAAAAACACCCCCACCCCCTACACACCTTTCCCATTCCTGAACTCTAGTGTAGGGAGGGAACTTGCATGGGGGCGGTATACACACCCCTAATTCCTCCCTAGCCATCCATGGCTGTTGATTAACTTCAGAATTTACAAAAAAACTTTGATTGCCATTTCTTTTCAATTTCATTTCTCTGTTGTAGAAAGCATTTTTAGAAGCTGAAAGATTCCTTTGATAACTTGTGAAAAGTTTGTCATTATCGTCATTACCGTGTATACAAGTTTCATCTGGGGCTCGCTATCTCAGTACAGCCCCTGCCAGCTCAGTACCATTTCAACAACCTGTTACTGGGATAACAATCTACAAGGTGATATGCCTTTCTGAGTCTAGAATTACCACCTTCTGAATTAATGTTGAATAATTTCCCAGTTCTCTAAGATGTCCAATTAGTGGATATGAAATCACCTCAAATTGTCAAGGTGACCACTGTGATAAGAATGAATAGTCCACGCAGAAAGGGAGTAACTCTTGTAGCTGTCCTTTGGGCCTCACTGATTCAATGCCGTTTCTCAAAATCGCAGCTCCTTATAACCCTTTCAGTGGACTTCTGTCTTTGGATCTGGGGCTTTATTCTCAACTGCCCTGATTGCTGAACTCCAACTCAGAACATCTGGAGCTTCTGGCCTTTGAGTTGCCTTGCCTTCCAGGGATTCAAGAGATCCACTGTACTTTCCCCATTCTTCAGCTGTGGGTACCAGAGCTAGATTTCTGGGAGCTGCTCTTTTGATTTCCTTCCATGCCTTTCCTATCACTGCCGCTGCCTCTGGCCCAGTAGACTTCCAACACCATAGGGCCTAGTGGTCACGAACACAGCAGTCACACAGGCAGTTACTGTAGCATCTCTTAATAGACCAATAACAAGTTGATAGTCTAGGCTTAGATGCTAACCTAAGAACAGTGAATAAGGTAACTAACCCATCCCCGAAGTAAGAAGCAGAAATGGAACTGAGTACTGGTCCTCCAAGCTGTGTCTGCTAAGCCACTCCGTGACAGCACTGCAGAGGGCAGCTGGGTGGCGCCGTGGATCGAGTGCCGAGCCTGTTGTCAAGAAGACTCATTTCCTTGAGTTCAAAGTTAGCCTCAGATACTTACTTACTAGCTGTGTGACCCTGGACAAGTCATGTAAAAGCCCTGTTTGCCTCAGTTTCCTCATCCATAAAATGATCTGGAGAAGGAAATGGCAAACTACTCTAGTATGTCTGCCAAGAAAACCCCAAATGAGGGCACGAAGAGTCAGACACAAGAAAGATTCCATACTATATAAACTCAGTTCTGTATTTTGCATTTTGTTTCAGTTTTCCCTTTTGATCCTTAACAAAGACCCTATTAAAACAAACAAACAAAAAAAAAAACCAGACCCTTGTTGCAAACTAAGGGAAGAAGAGGTAAGTAGATCATAGGGCCCTTAGAGGCTAAGAGTCGTGCCAAGAGTAGCAGTGGGCATTACAGCTCACTATAGCTGAAGACAGATGTGGAACAGCCTGTGAGAGAGGTGGAAACTCGGCGACACTTACAAGTCCTTTTCCTTTCTTGGATGCTTATTCCCTCTCAACATCTATTTCCCTGGGTGTTTTGATGTCTGTATCATAGAAGTGGTCTTTTTTGTGTTGTTATTCTTGTTTGGGAGGGGGAATGGACCCGGAATGGGGTGGTTTAGGTTTTTTGTGATGTTTGTAATAAGTAGGAGAACTTTGTCAATAAGCTTTACTGCCTTTTTTTTTTTTCCATTTTGTCCAATAGCAGGATATAACATCTGTTGCTCAGGAGTTTTGAGTACATAATTATGGCTCTCTCCTAGAATCATCATCATAATGACATTATTATTATAGCATTGACTTGTCAAGTATTTACTGGCCATTAGCTGGTTGAATACTGTCCCAGCCCAACTCAATCATTCATTCCATCTGGAATGTGCAAACCCTTACCCTCCATGTTTTTTTGAGTGAACTGTGCTAGGGTCAACTTTGCTGTCTTTCAGTATTGACTTTTGGGTAGAGTGATACTGTATTCCATATTAGAGAGATAGAATGAAAGCAAATCCAACAAGATATGGTAATTCAAACATCCCAGGCCATTTCATATATTACTAGATAACACCTACTTTCCACACACAGAAAGTGAGTTTAGGGGTAGAACGTTACTTAGATACCTATTTTTAGTTAATATAGCTTAATGAACTACTAGGGGAAAAAAAACTGCTTTTACTTAATGAATCAAAGAGTACTGTGATCATATTGTTGTCCACCTTGACCAAACAGAACAGCAAGGCAGTAGGAAAAAAAAATCCTTTATAGTAATAACCTCAATACTGGAGTTTTTCAACAAATGGCCACAGGTGGGCATAATTAAGGTCTAAGAACTATTGCACATCTATTCCTTGGACCAAGAGAGTATTTTTCAAGATCCTCTTTTACCAAAATAAAAATTCTTTCCCTCTTATAAACTGTGAAAATAGTTAGCTGAGTCTTGAACTTACATGAAGTTAAGTACCACATTCCTTATTGAGACCTAATAATAGTCTTAATTTTTAGTCCAAGATTCCCACATCTGGCTAAGTACCTCCAGGTGGGCACTGATAACTTGTTGACCAAGCGTCAGGAGGTATCAGTCTCTTACCATTAAGTCCTTGAAATTTGGAATTCTAAAACCCATTTATCTACCTTAGAATGTGTGATGGGGATTAGCTTGACAGTTTTG